AGGCCTTGAGGTAGAAGCTGCTGTTATTTATTTATTTTTAAAAATGGAGTCACATCAGTTTCTCACCCTAAATTCCACTATCTTGTGATGTGACTATATTTGGAGATAGCACCTTTAAGGAGATTATCAAGGTAAAATGAGGTTGAATGGGTAGGCCCTGATTTAACACCATAGTGGTTCTGATGAAAAGAGGAGGTTAGGAGAAGGAGACTAAGGAATAGCCAGGTGAGGACACATGAGAAGGCTAACATCTGCAAGCAAAGGAGAGAGGCCTCAGAAGAAATTAGTCTGCTGACATCTTGATCTTGTATTTCTAGAACTATAAAAAAATAAATTTCTTTTGTTTAAGCTACCCAGTCTGTAGTATTTTGTTTTGGTAGCTATAGAAAACCAATACATCCCCAAATTGTTTTATAGATTTAATACAATTCCAAACAAAAGATCCAATCATTTTAATTTTTAATTTTTATTTATTTATTTTGGTACTGTCATGGGTGCTTGACAACTGAGCTACATCCCTAGTCCTTTTCAGTTCCTTTTTTGGCACCAGGGATTGAACCATGGGGTGCTTAACCATTGAGCCTCATCCCCAGCCCTTTTTTATATTTTATTGAGAGACAGGGTCTCCCTGAACTGCTTAGGATCTGGCTAAATTGCTGAGACTGGCTTTTGAACTTAGGATCCTCCTGCCTCAGCCTTCCAGCCCGCTGGGATTACAGGCATGTGCCACCATGTCCAGCCTCCAGTTATTTTTTAATAAAACTTTTCCCACAGATGTTAAAGGTGATATAGTAAAGCAAAAGGCCAAGAATAGCTTAGACATATTTGTTTTTAAATTAAATTATTTTTAATAATGTCTTTTTTGTTATAGAGAGATAGAGAGACCATTTTTTTTTTTTTTTACAGAGAGGTTAGGGACATTTTTGCCTAAACATTTCATGTATTTTTTTTTCAGTAGTTCATATCTGTCTTTTGCATTTATGTTTATGTTTATTTTAAAACAACATTTTTCAGTACAAAGATCACATTTTACTCACCTTTAAATGGTGGCTGTTCTATTCATTAAGATATTTGCACAAGAATAATATAAATATATTCTTTGTGTTTCTCTTCTGGCTTTTATTGGGAATTGTTTTGGTTATAGCCTTACAATTTTAGCTCAAAGAATAAATATTAGTCATTATATTGGGATTAAATAATGCCTTCATCATGGGAAATCCCATTATATGTCAAGTGAAGAGGAGGGAGAGACCTAATATAAACATTTTTGATATTGCTTCTATCTGAGTGTTTAAGATGAAATGATCAGCTTTCATGGTTTTGTCGATGGAGATAAAGATAGAGATAAAGCTAGAGATGGTTTGATGAAATAGAATGAGATTCTCTGCTACCTCCCTTACCCATGCTTTTCTGAAAGGAAAGACTACATTATGAGAAAGAAACTATTTGAAACCTGCACCAAAGTCCCTGAATAGTTCACAAAAGAGAAATTTCAAACTAAAATAATGGTTCTAATAATGTGGACATGTTCAGGAAAAAGCTAGAAGATCCTTATCCAAGAATTTTAGTGTTATTATTTTCTAAGGAGTAGGAAGTCACATTAATATGAAAATTACATCACCCACATAAGATGCCAAATCATGTTGTTTTGGAAAGAAAAGTAATACTCATAGTGGTAAGTTGCTCTTGTCCTTAGAAAAATCAGATGTAAAATAGCAGCAACCCTCACTGAATGAAGAGACCAGTCTGGAAGCAGGGCACTTACATACTCCATCTATGAAACCAGAACCCACGGGGCCCCTTGGCAAACTTCTAGGTTCCTCTGGAAATCCCAGGTCAAGGAAAACCCCATCACCATCTATGCAAAGTCTATGTAATTTAACCACACACAATGATGTAGCTTTTTTCTCATATGGAAAGAAACTGAATTTGACTAAGTAAATAGGTAGGGATCCTCAGCAGTGGAGGTTTGAGCAGGTTTTCCAAAGAAGTTGGGGTTTAAGAGGATAGAGTTCAGAAAGGACGACCATCTAAAGGTCTAGGTGCTGAGGGTTTGCCCTGCTCCTCTCTCCCTTGTGTATTCTAAGAGAAAGGACCAGATAAAGTCACAACTCATAGATTCTTCTATTTTGCACTGATTGGGAATATTTATTTAACTCTTCTATAAAATAGCCCCTCTGATTGCCTTTGTAGCTCAATGATTATTTTGTTTGGAGACATACAGTAGTGGTCTTTCAGAAGTGGTCAGGCCAAATTAGTGCTGAAAGGGCACTTTTCCACCCCTGTGGCCCTCTGGGTTCTCATCAAGAGATGGAAATCACACTAGTCAAATTTCAGTAGAGAGAATTTCAGACATATAATAGTGTTTTACATATCAATACTACTACATGTGGAAAAGGAACTCAAAGGAAACATGGAAATAACAACTTCAGGAAACAGATAAAACCTCAGTCAAGAGACAACTGACAGAACAAAGAAGAAAGTCTTAGAAATGTGGGGAAGAGATCTGTGATGCTGAAACCCAGACCTCTGAGGAGCAGACAGCAGACAGCTAATGTTGTCTGCCCCAGATGGTGATGAGGCTGTTTCTGCAAGTGTTAAAAAAACTGGAAATTGGATTCAGCTGCTGCTATAGAAAAACAAGACTGGCATAGGGGTAAAAAACTATGGCCAGAGTGGTTTTTAAAGTAGAACCAAAAGCAAACAGGAAGCCATCAAGAAGCAAACCAGAGGAGCAAGTCCCTTCTTCCTCACCAGCATCCTCTCTCCACCCCCTGCTAGAAGACCCTAACATGGAACCACCTGGGGAGGCAAAAATGTGGTTACAGAGTCCTGGCCACACCATCATAGAGTAGAGAACAGAAGGGTGGGGTGGAACTGAGATACATTGTGTGGTACAAGGACCTACAGTAGAATAGCACATGTTTAAATGTGTTTGTGCCAGGGGTGACAGATCAAAAAGAAAATGGTAGTTTCTTAATTAACATATATCCCTGTCTTCCTCCTAATGAGAAGTCTTTCCTGTGGATACCATTTACTATTCTGTGCTTCTTCATACCTGTGTTCAATTAATCATCAACTCATGCCAATTATACCACCAAATAACTTCTCCAAATATACTGACTAAACCAGTTTAGGCACACATTATATTTTCACATGATCTAAAGCAACACCCATCTACGTGGTATTTACATCTTTAGCTATATCTCCCTTTAGTCTAGTGATTCTCACACCAAACAACATAATAACATAAACTGAGTAGTTCTTTAAAACATCTCATTCCCGATTGAATTTGTTCAAACTGGTTTAGGAACCAGCATTTTTAAACTTCCTAGGTAGTTCTAAAGTGCAACCAGCTTTAACACCTATTATTTCACTCTGATTTTACAGTCATATCAAATTATTTTGTTATTATTTTCTGGTGTATAAATTCGATAATGTCAGTCCATTACCCCAATTTCTCTATGGTTATCCATATCAACAGACAACTAACTAGCTGGCATGCCCATGGTTCTTGATCTGGTTCCCACAGACTTTTCCTGGTCGTGGTTAACTCTTGTCTCAACCACTATCACTGAGCCATACATTTTTAACTTCATTTCCCAAATTAATTAAGCTACTATCAGTCTGCTGAACAAAGTATATTTTCACCTATTCATTCATATGCATATTTATTCCCTCCTAGTTTTTTAAAAAAGCCTCACTCAAGCTACAGAGAACTTTAACCACCTATTAAAAACACACAATGTAACTTTAATGTTTTCAAAACACTACTTAAAATTGAATCCTTCCATGTATGCATAATATGTCAAAATATACTTTAATGTCATGTATATCTAAGAAGAACAAATAAAAAAGAACAAAATTGAATCCTTTTTATGATATCAATTTTATGAAAAAACATGAACATGAATGTATTTCCATATAGACTGAAGAAAATTCATTAAAGTGTTAACTGTGGTTGTCTCTAGGTGGCATTATATATATATTTTTCTTCTCTACATTGTTCTAGAGTTTAGAAATTTTCTACAATGGCATATGTTACACTTCTAAATAGAAAAAAAAATTATAACTTATTTGAAATATTATTTACACATTTAAAACCAATATGTACATTTCTATCTGAATTTACTTGGTTGCTAAATTATGATAAAAATGTTTGTATAATTAGTAGCTTAAGTGAGGGATACTAATATTTGTCTAGACATATTTTTAGCCCCAGGCTTACACAAAAATGTATTTTGCCTTGAGCCACTAGATGGCAATCCCTTCACATGTATTATACAATTTGCAATTTGCTGAAACACCTTCATAGGGATTGTGCATCATTTACATATTATTTTATTTTTCAAATAACAAATTAAAATATAATTGTATATTTATAAGCTATCTCAACACACATTTTTAAAATTGTAGATTTTTCTAGAATTCAAATCAAATTTCTTATAAATATTTCTTATTTATTGTTATCTTAACCAGTTCTATTCCAGTTAGCCCTAAACGCCTCTTAAAAAGGTCTTTGAATTTCCCTTTGATATTTTTCTTGATGTAGACCTTGAGACTTGCTGATTAAATCCACAGGAATCATTATATAGTCCAACTGGTGTTATTCAAGGCTTAGGAGACTGCCAGGCCCCTATGTATACCAACTCCATGTTAGGAGAGACCTCATAGTTGGCACTCATGGGGGTCAAGTTAAATTGAACTTTCTGAGGTCAGAGGGTGATAGGAGAAGAGACAGTCCTGTATTAAATGTCCTGATGGCACAGATAGGAATGATTCCGAATCTTGTCCGAAACAATATATTCAGTGGTATTAGTGAATATTCCCAAAATATTAGAGGATAACAGCTCATTTGGCATGATTTAAAAAAATTACTATTGCTATTTTCACCAGTATTTGCATTTAGGGTATATAGACATAAAAAGAAATCTCAAATTCCTTGCAGAGTGGTTTTCTCTCTGTGTTCCTTTCTTTCCAAAGTGTAATAGCTTGTCAAAACTGATTCTTTTTTATGTTTCACTTTAGTCGGATGATGACATATCCACCTGGCATTACATTTCTGGTTTACAATAAACAGTACTCGGAATGAGTCAAATCTGGTAGACTCAGAGCTGTTTTTCTGCCAGATCAACTGGGCCTTTTAGAAATTTGAACACGTGAGTTGCATTTCTAATGTCTAAATTTTTCAGCTGAATATTATCTTCAAGGGTAATTACTGCAGATGAAGAATATATAAGCAATACTAATTTTTCATTATTCTGATTACAAAATGCACATTCTTTATAAAATTTTTTGAATGCTCTAAAAACTCAAAGAAGAAAAGCTAACATCATTCATAATTTCCCCACCCAAGGAAAGTGTTCTTATAGATGGTTATAAAACCAGTTTGAAGATGTGTCCTTGTTGGTTTGTTTTATGTACTGGGGATTGAACCCAGGGCCTCATGCCTAAGCAGGCAGGTACTCTATGTCTGAGCTATACCCCCACTCCCAATTTTAAAAGTTAATGTTAAATAAGTAAGTCTAGTGTCTCTGCATTCTCATCTTTATCCCTAGTGAATTTTTATTAGAGTCTTGTTGCTATTGGGAATAATTTTAAAGATAGTACAAAAATTCCAGTGTGTTTTGATCTTAAAACTAGATGTCAACCTATATTTAAGAACAGATCAGGTTTGTAATTTATTAACAGTTAACTTTTTGTGTGTTGATGTTTAGGGTTTACTATTTCTTAAATTTATGTGAACATGCAGAGCTATAAATGAACTCTGAAGCACGAATATGTAGCTATTTGGCCAAATCTGTCTTTCTCAGGATAACAGAAACTGAATGCTATTCTTCCTCTTCCACAATTTTCTATGGGGCCTTAGCAAGTTAATTATCTTCTTTGTGTGCTTAATCCTCTTAGAGTGCAGCCCTCATCACTTCTGCATGCTACGCCATTCTGTGAGGATGAATGTTTCTCTTTATCCTCTGAATGTAGAAATCGAAAACATAAAATTAAAGTAAGAAAATGAGAAGACTAAGTTTTGCATCAGGCTAAGAAATATGGGTTCAATATCTAGAGAATTAAATGTCTGCTTCATCCATTAATATATTTCAGAGCATAATTTTAATTTTAAAATAAGATTAGAAGTCAATATTCAATGTGAATACTGTTTGCTTTATAATTATAATTATTTTCTTCATCTATTCAAACAAACTTAAAAATAACACCATCTGTGCCAATAATTGCAACTTGACATGAGTACAGCATGAATTTAAAAATAACAAATAGAACTATAGATTTCTTTTCAAAACATTTCAATTAATTCATTCAGAGAATATTACTAGAGTACTGAGATAGATGGTAAGATAAAACCTTTCCTTAGAGTCTGGTGAAGGAATCAAAGAAATATATAATTATTCTCTTTGAAAAATTATTTGAGTGCTACTGTGTTCCAGGAAGTGTTTTGGAAACTGGGGACACAGCTGTGAACAAAACACAAAAATTTCTCCTTTCGGGAAACTTATATATCCTAGTGGGGGCAGATAGCAATAAACAATCAAATAATAATAAATACATTGTGATACATGGTGATGAGAGCTGTGGAGGAAAGGTACAGTGAGCAGCATTGATAAAATCACATTTTAGAAAGGTCTTGAAGCAAGTAAAGGAGCAAGCCATGTGGATATTTGTGTAAAGAACATTTCAGGGAAAGACAAGTGTAAGAAGGCCCCCAAGGCTTAGTTAATTGTAAGATCAAGGTTGAGACTGGTAGGAGATGAAATGAGAGTAGTAATGGGAGCCGGCTCAGCAGGTCTTTGTGAATATTCTGACTTTTACTTAGAGTGAGATGAGAAGCCAACTGGAGAGTTTTGAACAACAGAGTGAGATGATCTGGGGTTAACACAAGGACATTGGAGGATATTAATTACCTGCAGGAGGAGGAGGGAAATTTGGATCACAGTGGTAGCAGGGGAGGTGGTAAGAAATGGTCAGGTTTTGAAGGAAAAGCTGACAGAATATGCTAATTAATTGAACATAGGCTGTGAGAGAAAATGTCAAGATATTTTGGTCTAAGTAATAATGTTTTTAACAAGATACTGAGTCGGTGTGTTCATAATATGATATAACCCATGTAATTTCTTTTAACACTGAGCTTACAGATTTACTCTCTGTCCAAGCCCTGATATATACCATAGTCCATATCATGGGTGGGGACTCCTATCATCTTCAAACTGAAAAAGAGTAAGAAACTTTTGTTCTGTAATGATTATCAGGATTTCTCTACTACAGACCCTGCCAGATCTGTTGGATTTGTTCTGGACACCAGGTCGTATTGGAGAATGAGCCAAGTGGAAGGCCATCTCCATAAATGTAAGTCAAATGTTTGTTTGTGTCATTCAGATGGTACAACAAACTTGTTGTTTTCTAGTGAGCCAGAAAGAATCTTTCATTGTGTGTAGCAAGAGACGATGCTTTCCCGAGGCACATGACTTGACAGACACTTCCCTGTGAGCCAGACCTTGTCTAAACCCTCCAGGTAGACTGAGGCCTCACTAGCTCTCTTTGAATCATGCCTCCAGCAGTTGCCTGAAGCTTTCCTTCCTCATGCCATGATGAGTTTGGTAATCCATTTAGACTTAAGTCTGCAGGCCCAGACCTTCATGGGCAAGTATGGCTGGGATGGCAAAGGAAGCCAGGAAGGACAGACACTTTTTTATAGTACTTCCTGAATGTCATGTTTTTAAACGCTCAGAAACCATCACCTACTTTACTTGTTGTTTAAACAAGGTGCCCCAGGACATGTTATTTCTCATACCTGGGCACTAGGAGGTATGTTTCATTTAAGAACTACTTCTTGGCCAAGTGCAATGTGCACACCTGTAATCTTAGTAGCTAGGGAAACTAGATGGATTCAAAGCCACCCTCAGCAACTTAGTGAGGTCTTGTGCAACTTAGTGAAATCCCATCTCAAAATAAAAAGGACTGGGGGTGTAGCTAAGTGGTTAAGTGCCTCTGGGTTTAAATCCCAATACCATAAAAAGAAAAAGCAAGAAATACTTATTGAGTAATTAAATTGATACTTACCTTCTTGGGACTAAGGATTTGGTGATGAACAAGAGCTCTGCTGCCACAGCGCTCCTGTCCTGTCAGGAGAGACAAAGAACAAACAAGTACATGTAGTAATTAAATCATTTCCCAAAGTGGTAAGGATTGTAAACAAAATAACAAGATGATGTGATAGAGTTACTTTGTGGGAGGGATAGAAAAGCTTTTGAGACTGAATTAGCAGAGGAGTGACATTTGACATAAAATTAGAAGGATGAGAAGGAGCCTGTCATCTTAATGAGCATTAATTTCAAGGTCAGCATGAATAAACCTGGTGTTAAATATTAGAAAGATTATGCTGAGAGAAAAACACAAAATGCAAAAAAAAAAAAACGTGGTACAAGCCTACTGGAATCTAATCTCCAATGAGGAATGCATATTTCTATACACACACACACACACACACACACACACACACACACTCGGTGAATATATAAGTAAGAAACTTTTGTTCTGTATATACTGAAATTCACAGAAGTATTATAAAAGAAGGAAAACGAAGTGTTGAAGTTATACTGAAAGAGTAGGACAACTCATTTTCATCAAGGTGCTTAGAAAGATTTGGAAGATGGACTTCATAGAGGAGGTAACAGCTGGGCTTGGCAATAACAATGGGTCATAGTCATCTAGTCTGTTTAATGCAGCCACTACTCAAACAGGACTTAAAAGAATTCTTTCATTTAATTCTGCCAATACGAAAAGTAAATACTATTAATCATTCTTGTTCTGTTAAAGATTGAGTTCAAACTTGAACCCATTTATCTAAATATGGAACTCATTCTTAGGAAGATACATGCACCTAAATGAGATAATCAGGTTGTTGGCTGTGTTTTTTCTCTGTTCAACTCACTCTTTTGGGTTACATATAAACTAAAGTACTCTTATTACATAATTCTTGTTCATAGTATTATTCCCCAAATATATGCATCTAATAAAATATTTAATAAAACTATGAGGGAAATCCTAGCTCACCAAACTTGAGAATGTGCAAGTTTTAAGGATCTATCACATGTATCTTGGTTTATTGTTTAGAGGATTTTATTTTATCTTAAATTGATATCATGAAATAAGTATGTGTAAAAGGGAAAGCAGATCACTTTTTAAATTATTTCTCTAGGCCAGGCACACTGTCACATGCCTGTAATCCCAGTGGCTCTGGAGGCTGAGGCAGGAAGATTGCAAATTCAAAGCCAGCCTCAGCATTTTAGCAAGGCTCTAAGCAACTTAGCAAGGCCCTGTCTCAAAGTAAAATATGAAATAAAGGGCTGGGAATGTGGTTCAGTGGTTAAGCACTCTTGAGTTCAATCCCTGGTACATTAAAAAAATATATATTTCTCTAGAGCTGGGGATGTAGCTCAGTGGTAGATCACTTGCCTAGCTTGCATAGGACCTGAGTCTGATCCTAGACCATGAAGCTGAGAACAGCAAGTCTCTAAACCCATAGAGCCAACAAAAGATCCACAATCTGGGCAGTTGGGACTCTTAGGGGCAGTCTAATATATGAGATTTAATTATGAAAAAATGCTTTCTTAGGAAAACAAGATAATCTTTTTTGTATATTTGATATTTTTTGATAACTTGTTTTTGGGGAGAAATAACAAAATAACATTTCTTTCTCTTGTCTTTTGTGAAACAGCAAAAGTTTTGACCCTAGAAATGTAAGAATGTCACATGCTGATTTGTTTGTTATTTTCTGCCTGTGATAGATGATCCTAAATGCTACATTCTGTTTTTATTTTAGGTAGTCATGCTGAGTTCAAAATAAAACTACATCAAGTTTTGAAAATCAGACATTGAGTATTAATTTTAAGGGTCACTGGTTTGTTTCCTAAGGCACTGATTGTAATTCTTTCCAATGCTTAAAAATGTAAGTTTTAACAGAAATCAATTGAAGAACACAGTTCATACTCTAGGAAATTGATGTTCACTTTTAAAAATTGGTCATCTCAGGAAAAAACAACAGAAAATTAATAGGATTACCTATTTGACAGTCGCATTTATGTAACATTTATTCTTTGAAGTCATGTTGGGGAATTTTTGTTTGCTTGCTTTACTTTCATCAAAATTTGGGGGAAGATGCTTAACTGACTAAAAGGGGTATAAATTTGACTGTCATTGAGGATTTGTCATAGATGCTGCTATGTGAATTCATATATATTTAAGGGTGTGTGGTGGTTTTTTTTGTGTGTGTGTGTGCATGCGTACACATCGATACAGTACAAAAATAAAGCATTTTTTCTACTATCCTTACACATCTGAGGAGAGATGGACAAAAAGTTGCACCAGCTAGAATAGAAAAGGCATATTGGTTGTCTTTGGATTATGTGGATGACCCAGAATTAACCTACAGATTGTGACTTGGTATTTTAGTCACAGTAGCAGATTGTGATTTTTAAAAGACAATTGCTTTATCCCCATGCTTTCTGTAACCTTGCCCCTACTCAGAGGTGAAGTTTATGTCCCTTTCCCTTGAATCTAGGTAAGCCATTATAACCGCTCAAATAAGATTATGTTCATAAAAGCAGCATGCTTATCTGTTTGTTTTCTTGGAGTAATCACTATTGGAGCAGTGACTTCTATGTGAAGAAACCCAAAAAGTCCATGGAGGAACCTATGTAAAGAGGAACTGAGTCCCCTGCCACATTCATGACTGAGTTCCCAGTTAACAGGCATATGAATGAACCATACTGAAGGTGAACCCTCCAGGCTCCAGACAAACCACCCCAGCTGAGACTGTGTGGATCAGAGATGAGCCATCTAGCCAAGCCCTGCCTAGATTGCAAATTCATGGACAAAATAAATGACTGCTATTTCTGAAGTATTTATGTCATAGCATGGTTTTTATAAGGCCATAAAATATGTGACACAGTGTCCTGCAAAAGCTACATCAGAATATGACTTTGAAAAAGAGTGTTTTAGTCAGCTTTTTCATTGCTGTGACCAAAATGCATGGTAAGAACAACCTAGAGGACAGAAAATTTATTGGGGGCTCATGGTTTCAGAGGTCTCAGTCCATAGATGGCCAACTCCATTGCCCTGGGCCCAAGATGAGGCAGCACATCATGGGGGAGGAGCTCAGCAGAGGAAAACGGCTCAACTCTTGGCAGGGTCAGGAAGTAGAGAGAGAAGGAGAGGCAGGATTAGGGTGGTGAAGAGGCTACTGGAAGAAGGGTATCCACAGCACATCCCCAGTGACTCACCTCTTCTAGAGCTTTGCCCCACCTGCCTACAGTTACCACCCAGTCATTCCATTCTTACTAGGATGAACTGATTAGGTTATGATACTCATAATCTAATCATTTACCTCTAATATTCCTGCATTCATAGAAGCTTTTGAGGGACACCTCACAACCAAACCATAAGAATAGTTCTCTTTTTAGTCCCTGAAAATGGTAGCCAGAGAATGTAAAGAAATCAAGTTTTTCCTATGCATATAATCTTATCAGAATTTGACAATGTTAAAGAATTTTCACAAAGGGGAGAGTGGGGAGGAGTTATGAGGATAGGAAAGATGGTGGAATGAGATGGACATCATTACCGAAGGGACATGTATGATTGCATGAATGATGCGTCTCTACACCATGTACAACCAGACCATTGAAACATTGCACTCCATTTGTGTACGATGAATTGAAATGCATTCTGCTGTCATGTACAACTAAGTAGAACAAATAAAAAATTAAAAAAAAAGAATTTTCAGCAATATTTTAAAATTTCCGTAATTGTATAAAAGGTAATGAAAGCTACAGAAGAAGAGGAACAACCTAACATGAGGGGGTTTATTGTCTCCTCACCTGAGGCACCTGGTGTGCCTAAAGAAAGAAAACTAAAGAAAACTGTAAAATAGCAAAATGAGCAGTTTGTTGTTCTAAGAATGCAAGGGGTATGTTAAAGATGAGCATTTTTCTGAGTTGATAAAATTTCATTTTTGTGAAGTTAGAATTTAAAAAAGAGTTGTATAAATTATATTATGTATTACTAGGATAAAAATAAAATCCAATTGACTTTATATATGAAGGATATAAAAATTAGCACACATACTTGCCTTTTAAAAGTTTACAAACATACTTGAGAAACAAGTTTTATGCACAATAGCAGAGCAGTAATACAGAGGAGACTATAATTAGATTTGGGAATATTAGATAGCTTAAAGACAATTAAGACTTTTTAAAGTAAGCTCTCCTTGGCAGCAGTCTGTGGATTACTTAAGTACCCTTTGGCTTGGAGTTATCAGTGGCATTGCCACTAATAAGCATAAATCTTTGACACATAATCTAACCTAGGGACATCAGTTTACTCATGTGTAAAGTAGGGATAATAATACCCATCTCAGGGTTGCTGTAAGGATTACATGAAAAAAATGTGTAAACAATTTAATAAAAAGAATTATTTAAGTAAGGTGGTTCAAGGTGGGACTTATGATGAAGGAGTTAGAGGGCAGAGAGCAGGATAGGACAGAAGAATGGTTGTTATATAAATGCAATGCATACTAGTAGCAATGGAAGCCACAGAGGCTATTATCACTAAGGTCAATATAATAAAGGAATAAAGATTTGCAGGGAATAGATCCTCTGGGAGATAACTTAATGGAAGATTTTTGAAGACATGGTGGACTTCTGGTTAAATAGCTACAGGATAAAGAAATACCTGGAAAGAATTGAAATTTGAAATGTTACAAAGAGGGGCTGGAGTTGTGGCTCAGCAGTAGAGTGCTTGCCTAGCACATGTGAGGCCCTGGGTTTGATCCTTAGCACAACATGAATATAAAAAAATAAAATAAATGTATTGTGTCCATCTACAACTAAAAAATAAATATTAAAAAAAGAAATGTTACAAAGAGGTAATTCACAATATCCAAGTACACTAAATCAGTGAGAGTTGCATTATTTCTACAAATAGTTTTAGCATTTCAATATCAAATATGTTTATTAGTAATTCTGTATCCGGTTAAACATAAAGTTTGGGTAGTACCAGATAAAATATTTGTTTTTCTTTCATAGCCAAATTCCATATGATTCAAACATTCCACAAAATAATTCAGCTTTTTAAAATTTTAACTATGCATACATAAGTTTTCAGGACTTTTCTAAGCTATCCCTAATACCCACTTTTATTCACTTTATCTGTGAGAAAAATTGGAGAATAATATTTTTTCTAAGTCTAGCATTTCTTCATGTATTCAATTCTTTTTTCTAGATGTCAGAACTAATCTCATTGTTCTTAACTTTAGCTCTAGACTGGGCTCCAATCCTGTGACTTGTCTGGCCAAGGAAACTCCACATCATTGGCTTCTTTTCAAAAGATCAGCAGATGTTCCTGCTACATTGTTTATTAGTCTCCTGAGTCAAAAGTCATCCAATGGAGCCAGAGTTAGCAACATATTAAATTTCTAAACTACAGCCTAATGCAAACGAGAAAGTAAACTATTGCTAAGAATATAAAGAAACACAAATCTTTTGAATAGTCTTTTCCATACAATATTTTCTTTAAAGTTCTACCCTCTAAAGAGATACACTTACATACTCTAGCAAACAAAGCAATAATTCTCATGTTACATTGGTTTTTAGAAAACATACATCAATAAAATTGAAAGCCATAATTGGTTGAATGATTCAGACAATAGTCTTATGGATTAAGACCTTTTGTTCTGATTGAT